TGTAGATCCTCCTATGAGCTAGGAAGACGACTCGTTCCTTCTCACGGTCACGGTAGACGGTGTGGAGGCGACCGCCAGATCGGACTTGCCCTAGTCCATGTCACTGGCCTTCTCCACGGCTTCTCGTACGCGCTACCGGGCACACTAATCACTTCAGGCCACGTTCTCTGCCTTGCAAGAGTCGACGGTCGGGACCCCACGACGGCCTCCGCTGAGACATTGTCCATGGTGGTGGTGGGAAATGGGATACTCTGCGTCGACATCTAGGACGATGGCGCAGACGGGGAGCATGGGTGGAGCAAGGCAATGGCTCAGACACGTGAAAGGGTGGACGCATGTTGGAGGAGGGCGATTGATTTGGTGGACATGGTTAGTTTGGAGTAGATTGTGGTAGGTCTGACCTGTCGGATCCGATGTGCCAGAGGCTCCCGACGGCGTCCAGGCGACCCCAAATCTGCCTCACAGATGGTGTAGCTTTGAGCTTTGGAAGGTCCAGTTAGTTGGCGATTTTGTGACCGGGTTGTCTGCCCGGATGTTTAGGGATTTTTGAGGTCTCTGATTGTATACATCCTTAGGTTATGTGTGTCTCACTGTAGAGCGACAGACATTAGTGATATTTCAGCACCCACTAAAGAGAGCTCCTATTTGACGCCAACGAAGCGAGCATGAGAATCTATTACTGTCCGGAACACATTAAAATTTTGAGAACAATTTTTGGAAACATGCGCATTTTGAATTCGAGACATATTTTAAAAACATGTTCATTTAAAAAACAAGCATGTTTTCCAAAAATTAAACATTTTTTGAAAACGTGAACATTTATTGGGAAAATGAACATTTATTAAAAAGTATGAACCATTAGAGATGATGCATCAATGAGGTAACCCTTAATTATCATAATCATAACCTGCAGGGGAGGCTATATGGTGCTCGCATTCGTGGAACGAAGTCTATCTAAAATAGAACGTGTACTATACCCGGCTCCGTCCAGCATAATCGTCAAGAGCGGCTCAAGTATCCATACTATACTATGCCAATGCAGAGGTTGCATTACAAACATACCAATGAGAATCTGGACTCCCTGAGAATGCCTTAGTCCTCTGTCAATTCCACTGGTTACTAAAGGTGTTGTTTTCTTATTACTTTTATGTTATTTACTTTTATTTTATTTTTTGCTCTGCACCAAAACAACGATTTATCTCTGCCTCACTTTGTCCGGAGTCTACAATTACTTGTAGGTACAAATCCATAATTCACTACAGGAGGCAACACCTAATTTATGTGCTCCCTATGGGATTGATACTCTTACTTCGAAAATGGTACAACTAAATCATGTGCACTTGCAAGACATCATTAGAGAAGGAGGGAGATACGTATTGTCACTAAATACGTCCTCAACCCACCATCACAAAAGGTAGTAAATCTCTCAATTCCAAATGGGAAAATGCGGAGTGACCGGTCTTACACAACATCAAAAGGAATAATTAATTCGGCACATCAAAAGAGAATATCAAATCTTTTATAGGAATCCAGTTCTAATCATGCAAGGGTTCATCCATATCACATAAAACTAGTACAACTACTCAAACATGAAAGGGGTAAACATAAAAGGGACAGACACTATACAAGTCAACGCTAAGTTGGGGAAGGAGAAGAACATGGCGGCGTCAGCGGAGATGCCACTGTCCCGAAGGCCGATGTAGAATTGGCGAAGCCTATTCTTCCTTCTTCTTGATAGGCCCTTCTTCTATGGTGGAGTTGATCTTGGAGCAGCACAGGAGATGATGGAGATGGCGTTCGCTCATAGCCGATGGCTTGGGTTGGAGGTGTATATACATGAGACCTCCTTGTGCCTCCTCCATGGATGTAGCTTCTCTCCTTTATTCCAAGGGCTCTAGATGAGTCTAATCCTCTCCCAATACCTCACTTGTTTTCCAAGGAAGTCTTGAGAACAAAAGGGGATGGAATCCACAAAGAATCATGAGGATTGGAGTTGTTTCCGCAGCTCCTGACACCTGGTACAAGCGGCGGTACGACCATGCAAGGTCGTACTACACACCACCTTCTTCTCTGAACCGCGCACATGGAGTTTTGTATTTTGATCGCCATTTTCTCATAAGAACTCTGATTTTTACGTTCCCTGGCTTGTTTGATTATGATGAATGACTCTGATACACCTTTGGTATTGGATCTTCAATTTGGGCTTGTTGGGAAATCTTTTTTTTGCAAAACCCATAAACAACCTTTATCTGGTGCTGGTATATTCGTTGTATTTGATCCCAACATTTTACCTTTCATCTTGCTAGGTCCATGGATGGTCATAAACACCTATAGACGTACCAAAACAAAGAAAACTAATAAAAAATAAAACTATGCAATGCTCACAGTGAAAAGAGTGCAAGCTGGAAATCATGCGTAATTGGCATGCAATTGGCTCAATGGGACATGATATATGGACTTATTAAGCAACAAATGAGCTTTAAAATAGGTGTAAAATAGAGCCATTAATAATTATGAGCGGAATCAGGGGAGGGATGAGCTAAAAAAGGATATGAAGAAGTTGGAGTATGCAATTGTTGACCTACTAACATCGGGCAGACTTCATAGGGGCAAGCTGAAGAAAATCTAGGGTT